CCAAAATTCTCTTTATATGTGAATAGTATTTACTTGTAACATTTTCTAAATGAAGATGAAAAGGTACGTATACTAAAAGCTTACAGAGAAATACGTACATTTTACAACACTCTAACTCGTCTGACCATAATACGTTCTGGATTCCCTTACGCTGCACTACGTTCTCTTCTCATCCTCTTATACAGGGTGTCCCAGTAATCTAATATTTTCCGCAAAAACTTCGCCAGTGTGTTCTATGGGTAAAAACAAAACTGAAATGTCATGTAACAAAAAGTGCAGAAATGCTTCGTTAAAAAGTTACAAGGAAAAATATGAAAGATACACTTCCTTCGATGAAGTGTAGGTACGTTCGTTAAACGTCCATCCAGAGGTCGCAGAGATCTGCTAATCGACGAGGATGTTCTTTGAGTGTGAAGTGAAGGAGTGTCGATACTTTCGAACATTTTTCTCCTAATCGTTCGATCACCAATATGGAGGCTTCACTGCGAAAAATCATACATTTCCTCCAGCGAAATGTACTTTCTTTAATCCACCATCGAGAGATCGCAAAGAAGATCTGTTAATCGACGGGTTCGAAATGACGTGCGTTCAAAGGTGGTACTCGTCGAACAAAGTGTGGTATAATTCTTCCACTTTGATCGGTATAATTCGCTTCACGCGCGACAGCGTTTCTCGCGTGAAAATGTCAGGGAACGACTTAAAGCTATCGCAGCCTCGCAGATTATTAGCCACGTTCTTTTACGGCTGCTGTAAAATGACGTTTCACCTCATCTTTCGCGAAATCGATTTTTTCCCCCTTCCTCCGTGTCTCTTTCTCCGTTTTATCAGTCGATGGATACTCGATTTATATTCCGTCGACTAGCAAAGGTACCATAAAGTTTGAATAAGGAAATTAATCATATTTTCTCACGCTTCGACGCTCCGACTACTTTTTTTCCAGTGTTGAAACAATGGAACATTATCGAAGCTGTAATTTAATTAGGTAAATGTAAACGTGTGTATCAATATTCATTTTTCCATCGTGGAAAATTTTCCTTTTTTTTTGCGGTGCAATTATTCGATAATTTTTTTAGGGAAATACCTTGATATCTTTTTCTTTTCATTAGTGGAACAGTAAATTTTTAAATATTGCTACTTTATTGTAAACCAATTTTAAAACCGCAGAATTTTTCCTATAATCAAATAATTTCGTTAAATACTCAAAATGCAATATGGCGATTTCAGTAATGGTATTTAATAAAATATTTTTATGCAAACACTGTTCTCTTACACAAATTTTCCAAGACGTCAGCCTTTCAGAATATAAAACACCTGGAAAAAGGGGTAACAAAAGATCTCGATATAATCGAAAAGAAAGAGGATATTTCACGTGAACGCGATACAGCAGATTTTCAAATCGACAATTGTGTCTCTCCCGCGTTTAATCACCATAAGTGATATCAACCATAAAGCTGTTCGTTACTATGTTTATCTATAGGATTTGTCCTTACTACCATTTCCCGTTTCGCTTCGTTTTTCCTCTTTCTCCCGTTCGCCAGCGGAACGAATAACTTCCCCGATCCCACAACTCTTGGAGCTTTTCCAATTATCGGCTGGATCATTCGAATCGCGCATTTACATTCAGCTCTATACCTTCAGAACTTGTTTCAATGCTAATACGTCACCATTTACCACCTCTTATATATTTAATTCTTACAATGTATTCTTTGAGGGTACATACATATACAACGAGGGTCGCTATTGATTTTTACGCCGACCACGAAACACGACCCTTTCTGTATGTGTCCTCTGTGGTAAATTGAACTTTTATTTTCATGGAAAGAGTATAGCCGAATAAACATGGTAAAAGTGCCTCTAAACCAGATTGAACTTGTGACACGTCAATCGATAGGTCTCTCAAAGGAAACCCTTTCTGCCAAGTTTCAATTCCGTATACTCTGCTGTTAGAACAGTTGTAGACGGTGATTTGGAGTTTGAGATCGATATCTTTTGTTCCATGATGGAAAAAATCATGGAAAAAATTAGGGATACTGTAAACAGTGTGATGTATGTTTGAGAATTTTTTCAGACTCCTCGAGAGCAAAACTGAATTTTGAAAAATCTCGAAAGTGCCAATGTGGGAAATTTGGAAAGTGAGATTATTTATGGGAATCGTAAGAAAATATTATGAAAAAAATTAGGGATACTGTGATCAATGTGATACGTATTCCAGAATTTTTTCAGATTTTTCGACAGCAAAGCAAAATTTTAAAAAATTTTGTAACTGCAAATGTGGGAAATTTAGAAAGTGAGAATATTTATGGAGACCATCGTGAAATATTATGAAAAAAATTAGGGATACTGTAAACAGTGCGATATGTATTCCAGAATTTTTTCAGATTTTTCGACAGCAAAGCAGAATTTCAAGAAATTTTGAAATCGCAAAGGCGGGAAATTTGAAAAATGAGAATTTAAAATTTATCACAGATCTCCACTGAAACGAATACATTTCATTCTCCGCTAAAATGTTACACGATTTCCCCGTCACGTTTTATCATTTGAAATCTACAAAAAAACAAATTCATCTAAAAACAGTGTATCCATCGATAAAGGAGGAAAGTTGGAAGGAAAGCTTTCCGAACCCGAGAAAAACACAGCTCGACAAATACCAAAATATTCACGAACCTCTGCCTTTATCCTCGCCCCGAGGAATCGATAAGCGAGACGTT